GCATCTGGGACCCTCTTGGGCCGTCTTGGAGACCATCTTGGACCATCTTGGGCGACCTTGGAGGACATCTTAGCCGTCTTGGAGGCCATCTTGGGCCATCTTGTCCGTGTTGGAGGCCATCTTACAGCCATCTGGAGCAAGCAAAACCTTTGGAGCCGTCCCGCCCGGAGCCTTCCGGGTGGCCCGCGGGACGGGCCGAAGCCCCAGGGGGATCTCTTCAGGAAAAAAAAAGAAAGCAAAACCAAAAACGGGAGGGTTTAGCACGCCAGGCACCCCCGTGGCAAGACCACAAGGAGCGGTGGATCACTCCCGCGAACCCAGGCGGGCCTCCCAGCGAGCCCAGAAGGCGGCTCGCCAGACCGCTTCCACGGCCGGGGAGCTGCCGACGCCCCGTGCTCTGCACGAGCAGCCAGAACGAAGCGGTGCACTCGCCCAGCTCGAGCAGTGCCCTCCCACGGCCCACTGCAAGGACGGGAGCCAAAACGGCTTGAGGCACGGAGGGCGGACGGTCTCGAGAACCTGGCTGTCGAACGGGACAGTCTTCCAACCGAGGCGATGCTGGGAAAGTCCGACAGATACACGGCTGGAGGGCAGGAGCCATGTCAGCATCTACTTGGTTGTCGCCCGATGCCTCCCAGACTGCTGGCAGACCAGGCCGGAAACTCCAGGGCGCTACGCTGAGGGCCGGCGGATGGCACCCCACTGGCTCGAGCCCTCCTCCCAGCAGATGAGCGTGAGACCCTTTTCCGAAGGGCCCATGGGACACACAAATAAATAGACACCAATAACAGGATTCCCTATACTCCCATATTTTCCCATATGTTCTGGGGAATCGACGAACGATTGTGTCTGTGTTTTTCCCTCCTGGCAACATATGAACGTGAGACCTTCACTCACACCGAGATTACTGGATACGTAGCGCCCCGCAGTAACGGATAAGAGAGAGGGGGGGGCGGAAAGGACGTTGGTAGTCCGCGAGGGTCTTACGAAGCCTCCGCGGGCGCCTGACTTTTAGAAATCATGCCGTGAGCTCACCGCAGGTGCCGATCTTTTCGTTAAAGCAGTGTGGGTGGGTCGCGGGGTGGGTCGCGGGTGTCCCGGGTGGGACGCGGGTGGGTCGTGGGCCAGGTCGCGGGACGGGGCGCGGACGGGTCGCGGGCGGGTCGCGGGTGGGTCGCGGGCGGGTCGCGGGGTGGGTCGCGGGTGGGTCGCGGGGTGGGTCGCGGGTGGGTCGCGGGTGGGTCGCGGGTGGAACGCGGGTGGGTCGCGGGTGGGTCGCGGGACAGTTCGCGGGACGGTTCGCGGGACGGGACGACGACAAAGACAACAACAATCCGCACCGCAAACCCTCACTTCCGCCACACGCCCAGGGACAGTGAATGACCGTTCGGCCCCTCACTCTGACAGGGTACAAAGAATGTGGCGCTCAAAATCTAGATCGACCATCACACCAGATGCAGGAGAGCCCAGAATCGAATCGACAAGTCGAATCGGCGATCGAAATGAATCGGATCAGCGAAAATCGGCAGCCGAGTCGGGAAACATCGAATCGGTATACATCGGCAGGCCAGCAGACCTGCGTTGAGAAATCGGATCCTAAATCGGAATCCGATGTCGAATCGAATCGGAATCGGAATCCATCAAAATCGAATCGAATCGAATCGGAGGAATCGAAACGAGCCCTGCAGATGTAGTAATGAAGCGTTCCATGCCAAACAACTGCACGGATAAGTGCGCCTGGTGTTCCCTGACTCTGACATACTACCAATGTGAGGCGTCAAGAACCGCTACGCGCAGGAGCCCCGGGGCTCAGCCCCTGCCAGCTATCCCTGCCCACGAGCCCCGGACGGCGTGCCTCGAGAGCATCACCCCTCCCGGTCCCTCCAGGCCCTGCACCTGTGGTAGGCCCACGAGGCCCTCACACAGTTCCAGCTAGCGGGCTCCAGAAAAAGACCTGGACCGACAAAGCCTCGCCGTCTCGTGGGGAACCCTGCTGTTCCAGCTCCGCGAGCCTCCGCGGGCGATCTGCCACCTTCTGCTGGTGGAGGCGGTCTCGTCTTACGTCCGCGGGGGTCCCGCTGCCCTTCCGCCGCGTTCCGCCGAGAAAGCTCAGGGGGGAAAGAAACACACAGACACAATTCATCGTCGACTCCCAGGAAAATATGGGAAAATATTGGAATTGGGGGGGGAAGACAAAAACACAGAAAAGATTGGAAAACTATGGGGAATCCTGTTATCTGTGTGTATTCATCTGTGTGCCCCAGGGCCCCTTCAAAAGCGTCGGCAGCTCCTTCGCTTCTTGGAGACGAGGCCCTCCCTGGAACGACCCAGATGCGAGGCGCTCGCCAGGACCTGCCACGGGGCGTGGCATGACTTCCCATCAGCACGCGCGGAGGCGGGAGCCACTCTGATCCGGCGGCCCCCCCCGCTCTCATTCATCCTGCCCCTCCCGTCCTCCTTCACGATCAGTGCCGCTGGTCTTCCACAGCCTCTTCGTCCTGCCCTCTGCTCCCCCCCCATGTCTGCTCTCTCCCCTCGGCCCTCCAGCTCCTCCCACCTGCTCCTCGTCCTGATCTGGCATGGCGGCAACACCACGCTCCACGGTCCTGGATGGCACTCAGGCATGATGCCGGGCAGGTCAAGACCACCAGCAGCATCTGCAGTGCGAGCTGATACTCCTTCATGCCTCGTGCGGGCACGCGAAACTCTCCCGCAACTCCCCTCCTCTTCTTCCGCCATGCTGTTCCTTGGACACGTATGAGGGCAAAGAAGACATCTGTCCCTTCGTACGAATCCAAAGCGCAATGTGGGGTTATGACACTTCCGTCTCACAAGGCAGCCGCCGCCGGCCGCCCCCGAATCGGACGAATGACATCGGGGGGGCGGTGCAGGAGAGGGGCGCAAGGCTCTCGTGAGGCCGTCGGCTGCGGGCGGGACGCATCCTCGCCCCGAGCCGAGGCAGTGGGGTAACATGAACATTTCGGGAATTGGTGTCTTCATTTCGTTGAGGTTTCGGGGGCGCTCGGACAGCCACGCCTGATCAGAGAGCTCTCAAACCTGCAGTGAGCCCGCACACCCACACTGCCTTGCTTGAGCTCATCTGTAAAGCGCAAGGGACATTGAACAGAGGACAGAAAGAGAGGGAGAAGAGAGGGCAGAAAGAGAAGTCAACGAAAAGAAGGATGCGGACGACAAGCCGCTCCTAGGGGTGGGGCCGAGGTCTGGGAGCCTCTCTGGAAGCCTCCTAGACGCGGTCCGAGCGGATGTGGTCGGAGGATCGCGCCGCACCGGCGATGCGTCAAGCTCCTCAAGCAGATGCACACCAGATGCACAGCAGCAACCGCCAAATGCACGGCAGAAATGCGGCCGAGGGGGGCCGTCGCTCAGACTGGCGGCCAGGACCCCAGAAACCGCCCACCCCCGTCCCACGCACGCACACGCACGCACACACACACACAATCACAAACGCACACGCACGCGCACGCACACACACACACACACACACACACACACACGCCAGACGCAAAGCAGCAGCATGCCTGAGTCTTGGACGGCAAAAATGCGTGTGCGAGAGGCTTGTCCGTTCGCGTCGCCGTCGTCATTCATTAGTCGTTGTCTCTGTCGTCCCCTTTCCCTGCGTCCCCCCTTTCCCTCGGCTGCCCGTCGCCGCTCCCCCGAGGGGAGCCCCTTCCCTTTGATCCCCCAACCATATTCACAGCAGAAATCGGATTGCCAAACGAACCGACAGAGACGGCCATCCGAAGACAGAGAAAGAACTGCCACGACAGCACGAAAACGTCGATCTTCAAACGAAGCAAGAAACGGCACCAGCGTTTGTAGGAACATCTACGGCCTCTGCCACTTGCACGAGAAGTCCCTCGAACTCGGCCTCGTCCGCATGCAGCGCGGAACGCGGGCCAGAGAGGTAACGAACTCACGTAGCACCTGGCTGACCAGCAGCCGCACGGCGTCGAAGGCGCACGGCCACAAGGGCCAACATATGCGCCCAACCGTTGTCCCAAATCGGTCGAACACTTGAGCCAAAATGGCCAAAAGCATCAGGCAGAGTACGAGGACGAACATTGTGTTGTCAGACGGGGGGGGAAACTTACACTTGCGTTCTCCCAGCAGCTCGCCTGGGCAGCGTTCCCGGATGGATTGGCGGTACGCGGAGCGTCAATGATATGATTGGTGTCACGCTGAGTTTGATGATGCTCTTGGTGATGAATTACTTGAACTTGTCACTTGTCTGGCAAAACGCAGCGTGAGGGATGCAGACATGCGGAGATGTAACGATGTAGATTACGAGGCGATAACAGGTACCATTACCAACGTCAGAGGAGGACGAGCGTCAGAGGAGGAGGAGGAACGAGGTGGAAGAGAAAGGATAATGAGGCTGCGGACAAGGAGGGTGGAGGAAGAGGTGGATGAGCGCGGCATCGTCCTCCTGCCTCCTCCTCCTCCTCCTCCTCCTCCTCCTCCTCCTCCTCCTCGCCTTCCTCCGTTCTCCTCCGAGGCCCCCTCCCAAAGCCCAGACCTCCAACGCAACGCCGCAAAACAAAAGCCAATAGACGCGGACGTCCGGCCGACGCACTGCTTTCTCGTCTGACCGCGCGGGCCCCGAGGCTCGCGATCCCTCCCCCGTCGGAGCCATTTGGTCGTGGGCCGCGTCCTCGCCCCGGGACCTCCAGAAGGCGGCCCCCAGCCGCCGAAGCTGTGAGGCAGCACCCGCCGTGACCTCCTCGCAGTGCCAAGAGGTCGAGGGCCTGGGGACGTCGATCGGCAACAGTCGTTTTGATCCTCAGAGCGCGTGCTGGCGCCAACGTGTCGGTGCGACGATGGCCGACACAGGCCGAACAGCGCAAGCACACACTGGGCTCACACGCATCCTGAGGATCACATCGAAACAGGGAGAAAGCAGCACGGCCGCCACCACCGCGAGGCGCGGGGGAGGGGCCCCCCCGGCGGCGCGGCCCCCCTGCACTCTGCGGCGCCCCGCTCGGGGCGACCCCAGCTGTCCAGCCTGCGGGGAAGGCAACGTGGACCTCCTCCACGGATGCGGCCCGCCGGCGGTGGCGGGTCGCCGCTTGTCCCCCCCGCGAGCTGCGGACACGCCGGTACGGGCGCCCCCGCAGCCTGGGGTTCCCCGACGCGACCCCGCGGAGAGGCGGTCCGCACGGATACGTCCCGCGCGGGGCATCCGCAGACCACGCCCCTAAATGACCCTGGCCATCGCTCGGACGTCCATTCCCTGTACTTTTTTCGGTTTCGGGCGTGGCTGTTTCGCCAAATGATCAAGGATGCTCCTCGATGGTCCTCGCCAAAGGAAAAATCCACACGTCCGAGCGATGCCAGCCCTTTTCTCCACCACCCACGCAGGTCATCCCATTACCACCCGCCCGAATCTCCCCCTTCCCGAGTCCAGGAGGACTGGGTCCCCACCGCAGCCCAGCGCGCGGGCCCGCGCGCGCGCCTATCCGCAGGAGCGCGCCGTAGTAGAAGTAGCAGAGGAAGCTCTGCGGCGTCATCTGTCGCGGAGCGCCAGAACCGCTCGCCGTCTCCCTAAACAGCGATAGGCCCCATCCATGCGGGCAGGACTTGTGTCCATATCCACTGCAGCTTGGATGTTCGGGCTCCCGTTCCCAGAAACCCGAGGCGCACTGGATGTGGAAAAAAAATGCCCCCCTGAGGCTCGAATCTTATCCACATGCAGTGCGCCTCGGCCTTGTGGCGCCCCAAGAGCGTTAGATATGGATAGACACCGTGCCCTCAATCCACACAGAGCCTGTCGCCCACCCAGTCCAAGGAAGAGGAAGAGGAGGAGAAGGAGGAGGAAGAGGAGGAGGAGGGGGGGAGGAGGTGGAGAAGAAAGAGGAGGAGGAGGTGGAGGAGGTGGGAGGGAGGAGGAGGAGGAGGAGGAGGGAGGAGGAGGAGGAGGAGGAGGAGGGAGGGAGGAGGAGGAGGAGGAGGAGGAGGAGGAGGAGGAGGAGGAGGAGGAGGAGGAGGATTGCCAAGCTCGCTATAGGTTTATAGGGTACCTAAACCATCTGTAAGGCTTTGGCAGCTGCTGCCAAAACCTTAAAGTTTATTGGATGACAGAAGCCTGGAGCCAAAGGCTGGGGAGTGGGTAAGCCCGCGGTTTAGCCTGTTGTCTGGCGCGAGTCCACGGGCAGGGAAGGGAAAATGACTCTGTTCCAAGTTTCGGCGGTCGTGTCCCGACTGCGGGGGTCTCTTAGGGCCAGAAGAGAAACAACCCGAACGACCCCCCGACCTGTGGGGCAGCCCGTGTCCCATACCCCTCCCCTTCCTCCCCCCCTTGTGCCAGGAGGGAAAGGTTGATGGGGATAGGCCGAGCTGGCCAGGCGCCTCGGCGGCGCAGCTCCGCAGCAAAATTGGGGCCCTCGTGCAGCCACACTCGGTGCGGATGCCCCGACGGAGGTCCAATCAGGAACTACCCGAAGAGATGGGCGCACGGCCCTGGGACCGAGACGCCAGGCAACAATCGAATGCAGCGACACGGAGGCCACCGCGCCCACCGTCGCCGGGAAGCAACGAGCGCACCGGAAGGCCAGTGGATCATCGTAGAATTAAGTCGGGCCTGTCCCCCTACAGGGGGATTTTGGACGACAGATATAAAAGAGATATCCCAGTGCGACCCTGCCTAGGAGTTGGAGCATCCAGGAAGGCAACATCTACATCTAATCCGACAGCGACATGAACATCTACACCTGCATCTACACTACATCAACGCCAACAGCGAGACTCACATCTACATCTACTTCCACACCTACATCTACACCTACATCTACAGTTACATCTACATATACATCTACATCTACATCTACACCTACATCCACATCTACACCTACACCTACATCTACATCTACATGTAAAAGTTCGCATTGGTTTTGCTTGTGTGCGTTGCATGCTATGCTATGCTATGCTATACTATGAGTGGCTATGCTATGCTATGCTATGCTATGCTATGGTATGCTGTGCTGGTGCTGCGCTGCGCTATGCTGCGCTGCACTAAGCTAAGCTAAGGTAAGCTAAGCTATGTTTCGCTATGCTATGCTATGCTTTGCTATACTGCGCTATGGTATGGTAGGATATGCTATGCTGCGCTATGCTCTGCTTTGCTATGCTACGCTGTGTTATAATATGCTATGATATGCTGCGCTATGAAATGCTATGATATGCTATGCTGTGCTGTGCTATGCTATGCTATGCTGCGCTGTGTTCTGCTGAGCAATGCTATGATATGCTATGCTATGCTATGCTGCGCTATGATATGATATGCGTTGCTATGCTATGCTATGCTATGGTATGCTGTGCTGAGCTATGCAATGTTATGCGATGTTATGCTTGGCTATGCTATGCTATGATGTACTGTGCTAATGCTGCGCTGCGCTATGCTGCGCTGCGCTATGCTGCGCTGCGCTAAGCTAAGCTAAGGTAAGCTAGGCTAAGCTATGCTAAGCTAAGCTAGACTAGACTAAGCTAAGCTCAGCTAGGCTAAGCTAAGCCAAGCTCAGCTAAGCTAAGCTAAGCTAAGTTAAGCTAAGCTAAGCTAAGCCTAGCTAAGCTAAGCTAAGCTAAGCTAGGCTAGGCAAAGCGGGGGATCCTGGGGGAACCGCGGGGCGGATGCCGGGGGAACCGCCCTGGGCGGGGTCCACTGCCCGGCCCTTTAAGCACACACAGTAGGAACCCTTCTAGGCAGAGCCTAGGTAGGGACAAATGTCAAAAAATACCCTAAAATGCTCAAGAATGGTCAACAAATCGTCCCCAGGCTATTTCTTGACTATTTTGGAGTATTCGTCCGGTAGAGGGACACGCCCGACTTAATCGTAGAAGACCATGAAGACCTTAGGATCAATACGGAGCCTCGGGATCCCTGTAGAGAGCCGACGCAGCTGAGGAGCAGGGGCACAGGGGAACGACTAACTATCAAGATGCGGGCTCCCTGGGACAGACAGTCAACCCGCATAGTAAGGATGCGCGATAAGGATGCAAGGGCCTTGGACGCCCATTTCGAAGCGTTTCGAGCGGGGCGCGGCCAACGTAAGTGTCCGAGGATGGACCCAGGAGGCAAGGATGCAAGGGTACCCTTGCAAGGGATGCCTATCCTTACTCTGCGGGTCGACTGTAGGCAACTGCCTACCGCATGGACCACGCCTCGGGTGATGAGAACGCTGGGGGGGATGGAAGCACGTTTCGTTGGCATTGGACACGCAATTGTACATATGACAAAATTCCGAATTACACGTATCGGGGTACCAATATGAGAATTACTGATAGATACGGGTGCGTAGAGGCAACGGAGATTAACAAGTAAGTCTACTTGTATGTGTGTCGCTTTGATATTTCCATGTGCACACACGTCTACATATCTATGATTCATACAGGGTGGACAAGGTTAACTACACTTCGGTCGAGGTATAGATCTCTGCGCAGGTCTATGTATACATAATGGTATGCATATGTAACTAAATGCGACTGATGCTACTTCTATGCGTACATATCTATATATATATATGTATACCCTCCGCGCGCTTCGCGCACGCTCAGGTTCTAGCATGCTCTAGTTGTAGCATGGGTGCGTTATTGGAGGGCATGGACTGTCGCACGGCTCGTGCCCTCAGAGAGCTCCACCTGCGGCACCAGAGACAGCTTGGCTAGCGTTCCCCCGTCATTGTCGGCACACCCCTCACAGGGATCGCGCCCGACAGGGAGCTCCAACCACGTCCCCAGAGACAAGGCTCGCATCGTGGCACGCCCCTTCACGCGGATCGTGCATCGCATGTTGCTGCATTTGCGGCACCAGAGTGGAGCTTCATTGTCGCCCCGATCACATCGGCACGCACCCCATCACGCAGATCGTGCCCACAGGGAGCGCCACCTAAAGGCCCAGAGACAAGGTTCGTTCAGCGCTCCCCCGCACATTTCGGCAGACCCGTCACGCGAACCGTGCCCCAGAGGGAGCTCCACCTATGGCACCGATGGGCAGCTTCGAATGGCGTACCCCCCGCCATATCGGAACATGCCTCGCACGGGTCGTGCCTGGAGGAGGTCCACCTGTGGCCTCAGTGGGGCATCCGCGTGAGGGTATCCGAATTAATCGGCGCACCATTCACGCAGATTCTGCCATACAAAGAATTCAAGAATTCAGCACACGCGTGCACGCGTGCTCCGCAGCAGTCATCTTGCCGCATTGCTCAGCGGCGCACAGTGTACAAATCACTTGCTTATATATGGCCTTCGGTCCATACCGCCACTGTACCTGAGTCTTGGGCCAGTACCTGTATGTTGGGCTCTTCGCATGCGGTATGTTTCTCGGGCGCCTCGTGGAGCAAGTGTTGAAGCTTCTTGTGGCCTCATGTGGGCCATGTGGGGAACTCTTGGGGCATCTTCTTTGGCCCTTAGGGGCCTCTTGGGTGCCTGCTGCGGCCTCGGGGGCCAACTCGTGGCGGAAGGCTCGAAATGTCGGTTGGAGTTCCCCCTCTTAGGACTCCTCTTGAGGCCCTACTGAGCCGTCTTGGGCGCCTCTTGGACCGTCTTGGGGCTCTCTGGGGTCGTCCTGCAGCTCTCTTGGAGGCCCCTTTGGCCGTCTTGGGGCGATCTGTGAAGCTTCTTGGGACTTTTTTCGACGCTGTTGAACACCAAAATGCGAATATGCCAGAAATGCACCGTCCCCCTAGATGGATGACACAATCTGGGCCTCCTGAGGCCCTCTGTGGGCCCATCCATCTTGGAGCCTTCGATGTCTTCCGGGCCTCTTGAAACGCTTGGGAACAATATTCGAGCGTCTTCAGCGCTGGTCGCTTTTTGGTGGCCTCTGGTCGGGGATGGACAGACCCCCCTTTAGTAAAACGTGGTTTAGTGAAAACGACCTGAGGCCCAAACCTGGCGGGCGCAGGCCTGGAAAATAACGGCCACGGCGCCCTCTCGAGAACCGAAAACGGACAATTCACTAATCGACGCCCGGCCGCCACCCCGTACGCCAGCATATGCAGGGCGTCTGGGGGCCCTCACCGAGCCCCAGCGCCCCTGTCTGCCCCGTGCCCTGCGTTCTCCCTCTGTCCAGTGCGAGCCGTGCGCAGAGGCTTTGAAAAACACCTGAGGGGTTCTGAAAAACCTGCGTCTCCTCCTTCCTCCTCCTTCCTCCCCCTCATCACCATCAACACTCACTGGATGGTGCGATCTATTTACAGCCAGCTCCACTGAAGTAGTGATCCACGCTGGTCTTCAGTCTCTCATCGGCGTCCTTGATGCCTCATTGGGGTCCTATGTGGCCGTCTTGGGGCGATCTGAAGGGAGCTCTTGGGCCGTCTTGGACGCTGTGAAGACCAAAATGGTGGAACGTGCACGTCTTCCGCAGGGAACGGAACGATTTGGGCCTCTCGGGGCCCTCTAGGGGCGCCTGTCGAAGCTCTCGGGGCGTCTTGGAGATCTCTGGAGCCGCCGGGAGGTTACCTTGAGCGGTCCTGGGGAGCCTCTGAAGCCCTTTGGGGTGCCCTTGGCGACCTCTCAGGGCAGTCTGGAAGACATCGTGGGCGCTCTTGGAGCGCCCCGAGGGCTGCCTTGAGCGGGCGGGGAGCGGATCAGGAAGCCCCAGTGGGGTGGTGGGCCCAGATTGGGGGCTCGAGGCCGTGGCATCTGGGCCTCAATCTCCTTCCCACAGCAGATTTATGTATGTGTTTAAATCTGGGAACAAAAAGTGCCATAAATATAGAAACTCGGATCGGCGCTGGACCCCCCTCCATGGCGCGCGGAGCGCGCCAGGGGCGGCGCCGGAGGCGCCGCCGGGGTGCCCTAGCGCCGATCAGAGAAATCCGCTTGGACCTCCGACTTGTTATGTTTATGCCACTTGTTGTTCCCCTATTGAATGTATATCGGTGTATACGTCTGCGTGTGTATCTATAGTGTATGTACGCATGGGTGTGAATAGTGTGTATATATATATATATGTTGGTATATATATATATATATTGATATATATATATATATATATATATATATGGCCGCGGAAGGCTCTCCAAATCAACGCAGCAAAAATGCTGGAGAACTTCCTGTCCCGATGACAGGCGCGCTTGCTGGCTCCCGGAAGCCTCTCCGGGAACCTGACGCTACGCTCACGTGGGAGCCCTCGTGGCGGCCTCTTTCTGTGAGCCTTCTGGTGGACGCTCCGAGGCCGTTTGGGCACCCTGCTGGCCTTCTTTGCCGCCCTCCTGGCGTGCCCCTACCGCTTTGAGAAGCCGCCTGCAGCACCCTTATTAACGGGCGAAGAACGGTATAAGATAAACTTTTTCGCTGTCGGGGGCGCCTGTCCCAGGGCGGCTGGAAAGTTTATACCCTTACGGTGGCACCGCAGAGGTATAAACTTTCCAGCCGCCCTGGGACAGGCGCCCCCGACAGCGAAAAAGTTTATTTTATACTGTTCTTCGCTCGCTGATCTTACGACATCTTAGGCGCCTCTTGGGACGATTGGGCGCCGCCTTGGGGAGCGTTCGGGCCCCCCGTGCGCACGCCTCGTGCGCAGTCCTCCGGGCGCCGGGCAGCGAAGCGGGCGACCAGGCGAAAAGCAATGAAAGGCTGATTAAAGGGGCCCTGGGACACGCAAATAAATGCACACAAATAAAAAGATTCCCTGTATTTGTTTTTATATTTTCTGGTTTTGTCCTCCCCCACTTCCCATATTTTCCAATATTTTCTGTGGAGTCGACGATTAATTGTGTCTGTGTGTTTTTTGTCCCTCCTGACTGATGTAAAAGCAATGGATTTTGCCAATCGGGGCTGTTTCGGAAAACGCTTTAGAGCCCTGTTGGGCCGTCTTGGATGCGTCGTGGGCAGCATCGGAGCGATGGTGGGCGTGCTCGGGCAGGCTCGGAGTCCTGCGGGCCTCCGTGACCACCCCTGCGGCCTGTCCAAGCTCAGTGGGGAAGCCACCTGGAGCCCTCTGGGGCGATCTTGGGCGCCTCGTGGGCCGTCTCGACGCCCTCTTCGGGCGGTTTGGAGCCCTGTTTGGCGCCTCTTGTGCCGTCTCCGCGCGTCGGGCAGCGGAGCAGGCGACCACACGAAAGTCCTTGGAAAACACACGAGACATGAGCGACTTTCGCCCCTGGAGCCTGTCTCGGGATTTTCGCCCCTGGCGCCTGTCTCGGCCAGGCCTATCCCACGTTGCGGCGGCTGGGTGCCGTTGACATAAAAGACATCGACGACGACAGCGTCGCTTCCTTAGCCCATGGGGAGACCAGAAGGTAGCGATATCGCGACTCCCGGGACCTCTCTCAGGGTGCGCCCTGGCCAGAAGGTCAAGGCGAATCCAGCGGTGGTGACGAGAGCCTCCCAGAAGGGCAGCGGTGAAGTGCACCTCTTCCTGATCCGAACTTGGCTGCGACGATCTTCAGACCAGCTGTCCGACACCATCTGAGATGTTCTCAGGCGGCAAGCTGTTCGAGAATGTCAGGGTCTGTGCCTCCCCCTGCCCTCTCCTCAGACGCCTCGGGTGGTGTACTGGCGTCTCCTCCCTGCCCTCCAGCCTCATCCTCGAGGAGGGGAAGAAGGATCCCCCTCGCCAATACTTCGAGAAGCCGTGCGAGCGGCCCCACGCACTGTGCGGGCGTGGCGCTTCCTCCCGGCGCGCGAACTGCAGCTGGGGCGTCGCAATAACTCCTCCTCTACCCCCCCCCGAAAACCCTCGGGTGGGAGGGAGAGGAGGGACGTTGGGAGGTTTGGGGGCGCTTGAAGAGTTTGGTGGGCCCTGAGAGTGTTCGTGCCTGAACATATTTCTCTGCTCCGCATCTGCACATTCCTCATCTTCCTTCACCTCCTGAGAATCCCCCTGCTGCGTTTCATCCACATCGGCATCTTCCATATGCCTTTCTCTCTCTCTCTCTCTCCCGCACACACACACACACAGAGCAAAGTACGACGCAGCATCCTGATCCCCTCCCCTCGGCGTGGCAGCCATCTCCGCTGAAGGACCTTCCCTGAGATCGGGTCGGGCGAAAGGGGGGGATACCAAAGGGGAGGTTTGAGAATCAGCTCACGTAGCTGATTTTCCCGGCGCCTCCCGGCGCTGGAGGCGCCCATATATCTAGGAATGGGCCAATCGGTGAGGCCGATTTCCCAAACCCCCCCTTTCCCAAACCCCCCCTTTCGCCCGACCCGATGAGAGGGGCGCACGGATCCTGCGAGGAGCTCCCGTTGCTCATGGAGATGTCGTAGATGGGCTGATCCAGCACCGGCGAGGCGAAAGGGTAGGCCTCCAGCGGGCTGCCAGCAGGCCAGGCACGTCGCGGGCTCGGAGCTGGTGTGTCGAGTCGCATGGCCAAGAGGACACGAGAGAGAAGGAGCAGCAGCAGCAGCAGCAGCAGCAGCAGCAGCAGCAGCAGCAGCTAGACGACGACAAGGACCAAGATCACAGCGAACTGTTGTGTAGAACCTCCTGGCCAAATCACTGAGCACAACGATGCTGGGCCAAAAGCAACCCGGCTAGGATTCATGATGTCATGTAGCTGCCGACTCCGCAGCCTTCGCCTTCAGGCACACGCGGAGGAAGTCGGCGTGCACCTGCCCAGTGGGGTAGAGCGGAAGTGATCGAAAAAGAGAGTGCGTGTGGGTCTGGACAGATACATGCTGCGACTCGTGTTTCCTACCCAGCACAAGCTGGGAAGGCACGCTGACGTACGTCTGCTTGCGAGCCCGAGCGGTAGAGAGGAGCTGCGAAGAGCCGAGCGCATCTGCACGGAGGCTTCCCACTGCCTCCAAGGGGGCCAGGCCGCCGCGCTGAGCCGCTCGCAGGGCCCATCTGGAATACCCCAAGAGAGCTTCGCACGTGCCGCTGCTCGATGCCGCCATTGCCGCGCCCCCGATCAGACTGCGACGTCCAGAACAGGGAGAACTCTTCGGCTTGGACCACCGAGGCACAAGTGTCCGTGTACAGTCGGACTTGACTGGAGAGGACACGCGAGAGGACACAAGACCCTTCTGGGGGCCACATTGCCACAGAAATGCAGGAGGCACGGGTCGCGAGACACAGGACACAAGGGCACCCTTGATTTGGCAGGGTCGACCTACTGATCCGGGCCGACTGTAACTCTTCTGCTTGGACCACCGAGGCGCAAGCGTCCGTGTTCCCAGGCCCTCCATCTGTGTGGACCAAGTCAAACGATGCTGCAGAGCCTCCAGACCCTGAACCATAAGCCCTAAGCCGTGCGCCCAAACAGCCGACTCATCGTCTCGAAGCAAGGGCCGGCTGCGAGCGAGGGGGGGAAGTGAGAAGGGGCGGGCCTCCTCAGAAGGCTCGGAAGTCCTCCAGCCTTGTGAGAAGTTATCGAAGCCTTCCCCGAAGACACCCGAAAGGCCCGAGGGCTTCCGAGAAGCACCGTCGCCTTCTGAGAAGCCTTCTCCTTCTCACTTCCCCCCCTCGCTCGCCGCCGAAAGGGAGGGCGAATCTTCTCCCCGCCCCCTTCCACCCCCACGCACGCTCCCTCCAACTCCCCCCCCCTCGCCCGCCCCCTACCAATCCTCCTCCCCAACCTCCCCCTCCCCCATCCTTTCCCCCCTCTTCCCCCTCTCCCTCCTCACGTGCCGAGAACCGCGACGAACGACCGACGACGGGAAAGACCACGCCGAGGATGACGGCGGCGGCGGCGGAGACGACGGCGGACGACGCCCGGGCCCCACCGGCGTCAGCGTCTCCGCGCTGGGCCTCAGCTTCTCGACTGCGCACCGGAGCGGCAGCACGGCCTCTCCGCGATGGAGCGGGAGGGGCGCGCGCGCGGGCGCGCGCGCCCATTCGGTCCCTGGAGGGCGTCGGGGATCGAGGGGGGCCAGGGCGAGGGAGGGGTGAGGGAGGGAGGTCGAGAAGGGGGAGGGAGAGGGCGCAGAAGGGGGGAGGGGGAGGGAGGGGCAGCGACTTTTTGTTGGCAGGACTCAGCCTAGCGTTACACCGATTGTATGGAAAGAGGGAGGGAGATGGGGGGGGCAAGGCCGAGGACGGGCCAAGTGGGGATGAGTCGGACAGGCAGGAATGGGGGGAGCAGGGTGGTCGAGCAGGAGGAGGCAGGATGAGCAACCAGGAGGGCCTAGAGCAGGGTGACGAGAAGAGGACGCAGGTGGCGGAGAAAGGCGGCGGGGGGGGAGCGACAGGAGAGGGAGGAAGGCCATAATTCAGACAGAACGTGGAAGAAAGATGACGATGGTGAAATTTAGCAGGATGAGCAGGACAGGAAAGTGAAGAGGATGATGCAGACGAGGCTGAGGAGTTGGAGTTGGAGGGAGGGAGGAAACGAGGGAGAAGATTAGGTGGAGGAAAGTAAGGAAGGAGGGAAAATGGGGGAGGACAGAAGGGGGAAAGGAAGGGAAGAGAGCGGGGTGTATTCCCGACTGTTGCAGATGCCTTTTGATGGTGACTGTCTGACCGTGTCCAGGCAGCTGTACGCATAGTTGCTGTACCCCCCCCGCCCCACTAGGTATCATCGCGCGTGGCTAGCACAGCAGCGTGAAGCACAGGATCGCCAGGCAAGCCTGGAAGGCCACACGAGCCGACCTGCCATTGCCCAAGCTGGTGCAATGAGCTCTGGCCTGGGAGGACAGCACAAGACATGTGTGAGGGGCAGCGCGGCAGCAAGCGGGGAAGGAAGAAGGAAAGAAAAGGGAAAGTCAGATGGAGTGGCACAGCCACACCCACACACGCGCACACGCACTCTCGAAGCGACGAGTCCACAGTATTGATGTCACGTGGCAAGACAATTGACCGACGCTGTAGTACCAAGAGGAAACCGACCGACGCATTGTCGAAGACACAGCGCGCACGAAGGAGAGACACCTCGCGAGATGCAGTGTGGGCAAAAGGGGAGACGAATCAGGAGATCTGCCAGGCCCCTTGGAACTGACGGCTGTGAAGGGTGGTGCTGAAGTGCTTCCTTACGTTATTTGCTCGTACATTGCTTCACGCCGCGTGTTTCTCCAGTCCTGCCCCGTTTCAACTGTCTACTGGGTGGGTAGGGGGCGCGGCAACAACACGAGCCTACCGAGGCGGGGAGCTCACTCAGCCCTTAGCCGTCCGAAGTTGCCACAGGATTTCCATGAGGACGTGCACCCGCCTGCTGTGTGCACCAGGCGAGATGACTCTGTCCATGCATATGGCCAGGCACCGCCCTGGGCAGGGCAAGGCCCTATCGCGCGCGGAGGCAGCACGCGCCCCACATGTGGAGACGGCGCTGGAGGAGATATAAAGTGAAACACACGCACGCACGCACGCACGCACGCACGCACGCACGCACGCACGCACGCACATACACACACACACACCTCTGAGGAAAGAAAGGCTGCAGGGAAGCTACTGCGAGGTCATGATGCTCACGCGCTCATCTTCGAACTCCGCGCGTCAGGGAGGGGGGCCCAGCGCCGATCCGAGAAATCCGCGCGGACTTCCGAGTTGTTTTTATGTTTATGCCACTTTTTGTTCCCCTAGTGATACGTCGATGTGTCCATGCACGTGGCCAGGCACCGACCCAGCCTTGTGCCTAATCGGGCCTGAACGACGAGGGGGCCAACAGTTAAGCCCGTGAGGGAGGCCGCGCACTGTGAGCGACATCTGTGAAGGGGCCCTGGGACACATAAATAACAAACAATCCCCATCTTTTCCCATATGTTCTGGGTTTTTGTCTTCCCCCCCACTTCCCATATTTTCCCATATTTTCTGGGGAATCGACGATTAATTGTCTGTGTGTTTTTCCTCTCCTGATTCATGGTGGGCTTTCGCCTTCTGATCACGATGATGCTCCGAGTGAGGTGCCCGCACGGTCTTGTACGCTCCACCATTATTAATGGTTTCTGGCGCCTTCCCACTTTAATTTAAAGTAGGAAGGCGCCAGAAAGAAAACATAATGGGATCTGGGGGTCCGAAGATGCCTGCTTTCGACGACCAGCGCGTACTACTATCTTTCGTATTCGTCTTATCCGCCGACCCCTTGGGGTTCCATCGGCGTGTGAGATGCTTCCCCCTCCCTAAACCTCTCCCCTGGGAGCCCGATCCGGTCGATTAGGGGGAGGGGGGTCTAGCCGGGCCGGCCGGGGGGGGGGTTCTTTGCTCCAGAAATTCTGCCAGGAGGGCATCGAGGGCCTTAAAACGGGCCACGAGGGCCCCAAGGGACCTCCCAGACGGTCAAAGAGGGCCCCGATTCGCCGAAACACCGTCCCAAAACGCTCAAGATGGCCTCCAGACGGCCCAAGATGCCTCCAAGACGCCCCAAGAGGCTTCGAAGAGGTCTCCCAAGAGGGCCCCAAGAGGGCCAAATCTGTGATTTTCTTCCCCACATGTTTCGTGGGGTTCTGGCTTTCTTCCCTGCCGCGTCGCACCCGCGTTTCTACTCCTCCTGCTCCTCCTCCTCCTCCTCCTCCTCCTCCTCCTCCTCCTCCTCACCCTTTTGCTTATCTGTCTCGCTCGCACTGACAAAACCGCCGTGGCAGACGTAGCGCGTCTTCGACACCACAGGGGGTGCGCTGGGGGTGGTCTCCCTGTCCGTTTCGGGCTCGCAAAGCGTGGCAGGCGTGGCACTTCTGGGGGGGGTCTCCCTATCCGTTTCGGGCTCGCAAAGCGTGACAGGCGTGGCACTTCCTGCCACGTCGCACCCACGTCTCCTCCCTTACTCCTCCCTCTTCCATTCCCCCGTCTCCTCCAACTCCTCTTCCCTCCTCCCTTCACCCACGCGCAACACATGCATGGCACATCCATGAGACACGCGTCAACATACTGGGCGCCGACGTGAGACACACGTCCAAATATAGCCGCACACGCATCATACACATGACGCGCATACCACACAACACATGCGCGCAAGATTCGCAAGGCGTGGCAGGCGTGGCACTGTCTCGACACCAGAGGAGGTGCGCAGGGGGTGGTTCCTCACCGTGGTCTCTATCCGTTTCAGGGTCGCAAGGCGTTGCAGGCGTTGCACTTTCTCGGCACCATAGGGGGAGCGCAAGGAGTGGTCCCCCCACCGTGGTCTCTATCCGTTTCAGGGTCGCAAGGCGTGGCAGGCGTGGCACTTTCTCGGCACCATAGGGGGAGCGCAGGGGTTGGTCCCTCACCGTGGTCGCTATCCGTCTCAGGGTCGCAAGGCGTGGCAGGCGTTGCACTTTCTCGGCACCATTAGGGGATGCGCAGGGGGTGGTCCCTCACCGTGGTCGCTATCCGTCTCAGGGTCGCAAGGCGTGGCAGGCGTTGCACTTTCTCGGCACCATAAGGGGGTGCGCAGGGGGTGGTTCCTCACCGTGATCTCTATCCGTCTCAGGGTCGCGAGGCGTTGCAGGCGTGGCACTTTCTCGACACCATAAGGGGGTGCGCAGGGGGTGGCCCCTCACCGTGGTCCCTATCCGTCTCAGGGTCGCAAGGCGTTGCAGGCGTGGCACTTTCTCGACCATCGGGGGTGCGCAGGGGGTGCCTTCGATGTCGGCGAAGCAACGGCCACGAGAAACATGCTCGCAAGTCCCACGTCAGCTACCATCACGGAAGACACATGATAAGTATGTGGGGTTTCTCGGTAGCGTAAATTGTTTTCAAATGTTTTGCGTTCTCGCCTTTTCCGGCTTCCGACGCTCAAAGACGGCCCAAGAGGCCCCCACGACCGCCAGCACACGGCCCACGAGGCCCCCAAGAAGGCCCCAAGACGCCCCAGGAGGGCCCGAAGACGGCCCAAAAGGACCGCAAGACAGCCCAAGAGGGTCCCAAGAGGGCCCCAAGAGGGGACCAAGAAGGGAACCACGAACCGAAAATGCGAGCTTTCCGCCCCAAGTGGCCCCCGGAAGCCCCAAGAGGCCCCCAAGGGGGCCCAAGAGGCCCCCAAGAGATCCCCGAGAGGCCCAAAAGAGGCCCCAAGAGGCCCCCAAAAAGCCACCCAGAGGCCTCCTAACTGCCTCGGGCAGGCCCCCGAGGGGCTTCTCACGAGATCCCAACGCACATCCAAGAAGCCTCTGAACCACACCCAAGGCATGGTGGCGGGATGGACCGAAGGCCACTAGATATAAATACAAGCGTAAGTCGCGCAGCATCCAGAAGAAGAAACAGCGACTCTTCCCCAAGGGGTCGGCGGTGCGGCGTCAGCCAAATAATCATTATGATGATGATTAGTATGATGATTGTGATTAACATGATGCATCATCTTTTTTACCAGCCTTACGAGTATGGTTCGGTTTCTCCTTCTCCTCCTCCGACGAGCGATACACAACACCTGGCTCAACACCTCTGCTTTGGACGCCTGAAATGGGCACGGAAAGAATGGGTGCAATGCCCAACAACAACTGTTGTCCCAAACCAACGGCGGCCGCTGTTGGGCGGGCGGCCCTCTGTCTCGGATGGACACAGGCCGCGGCGGCGTGGACAGCGAGTCCTGCTCAGAATGAACAAGATCCGCTGTTGGGCATTGTACCCATTCTTTCCGTGCCCATTTCGTTCGTGCAGATCTGGGGTCATGATGACTGCGATGATTGTGATGAGTGTGGTGATTATATGTACCCATTCTTTCCGTCATATGATGATTGTGATGATTATCATGATGCATCATTTTACCAGCCTTACGAATCTGATTCGGTTTCTCCTTCTCCTCCTCCTGCGAGCGACACCCAATACTTGAGCAGGGACCGACCGTCCCGGCATTCCTATAGTCCTACCACGAGGTGTTCTTAGAACCCAAACATGTTCTAAGAACAAGAACGATGTTCTTAGACCATGAACCCCATGTGTCAAAACAAGACAGGCTCCGCCAGAAATGTCCTCAGGACATTGTTTGGTAGGGCTATAGGCGAGCCTGGACGCTTCGCCACTGCTTGAGGGGTCCGGGCGCTGCTTCGTCGCCGGTCCTCCCCCCCCGCGGCGATCCCGCACGCGCCCGGCGGAGCGCCGCGCGAGCCTGCGCGGCCCCAGGGGGGCAGCCACGGGGCTCGAGCCGGAGCGCGTGCTCCGTCTCTCCGTGCTGCGGTTCGGTGTGCCTCGTTCTCTGTCCTCGTTCGGGGGCCACATGCGAACGCTACCCCGGGGCTACCCCGACCCCCCACGATTCTTGAGGGGGAGGGCGGGGTTCACTCCGTTCGGCAGCTCCCGAGCGGAGGGGACCCCACCCTCCCCCTCAGAAATCGCGGGGGGTAGGGGTAGGGTTCGCATGTGGCCCCCTACTCGTTCCGCATCCTCTGGCAAAACGAGACAGGAACGAAGAACATTGGAGGCCCAGAAATTGGCACCAACACCAACACAGGGGGGTTGCCTCCACAGGGGGAAGATGATCCTAGATTTCGGTGTTGGTGGCAATATTTCGGTCGCCTTGGACGCCAGAATATTACCACCATCACCGAGATCGGGATCTTCTTCCCTCGGCGGAGGCACACCGCCGATATGGGTGTTGGTGTCAACATTCAGGCCTGCGAAACACAGCTGTCCAAAGAGTCGCCAGAAACACGCCGTCCAGCTCGGGCCCTCAGATGGCCCCCCCGGACCGCCACAGGACGGCCGCAGGCTGCCCCGGGTCCAGCCGGAGACGGCCCTGCGGCGCCCTGGAGAGCGCAGCACCCGTCGGTCAGAGGCAGTGGGTGGACCTATGAAGCAGGAAGGCGTCGGAAGTGGGTTGTCGGGTCTCCGCCCGCCCCCAAGAAAGGAGGGAAGAGGGGGAGAGCCTGTCGACGTGTGAAGTAGGAAGGCGGCGAGAGCACATCGGGCTCTGGGGATCCGAAAGTACCTGCTTTCAACAGCCAGCGTGCATGGGACGCAGGAAGGACGTACTGGTCCCGTGCGTCCTCCCTGGAGGCGTCGTCCGACCACAACGTAGATAGCAGAAACATCTTGTAGCAGATCGATTCCCGAGCGGCATGGCCAGAAGGCACCAGCCACCGAGCAGATTCTGCAAGATGTCTCGGCGAGCGCGCGGACCCCTCGAGAGCGACGCACACACATAGCACTAGTACGTCAGAGACTCCGATGCAATATTTGAGCAGGGACCAGCCGTCCCGGCATTCCTATAGTCCTACCACGTAATGTTCTTAGAACCCCAAACATTCTGATAACAAAACACAGGGTTCTTAGAAAATGAACCCGATGCGATCAAACAAGACAGACTCCACCAAAAGAAATGTTCTAAGAACATTTCGTGGAAACCACACGAGGTTCTTAGACCATTGCTTGGTGGGCCGATAGGCACGCCAGGACGCTTCGCCACTGCTTGGAACATGCCGCCGAGGCTCCCCAGGGGAGACTCCGAGTCGCCCGCGAGGCGCCCGAGGAGGCACGGAGGCCCGTCGAAGGCCACAAAAGCACTGCAAAAACGCACGACGTGCAGACAAATATGATACAGGGCAATGTTTAATACATGGGATGTTTAAAGGGCGTAGGATTGTAATACATGATGAATGTATGAGTAAATTCATGCATGAATGCATCGTTGTTATCAATACTAATTCCCTGCATGTTTAATACATGATCCGCACGCGGAGCATGTATTAAAAACAGCACTGTTTTCCGATGCTTTTCCGCTTAAGTCGGGCCTGTCCCTCTACAGGAGCAATATTCAGGAATAGTCAAACAGTAGTCTGGGGACGATTGTGTGACTGCTTTTGACCATGTGGGGGGTACGTTTTGAGTATCTCTTTTCTGTCGCCCAAGATGCCCCTGTAGGGGGACAGGCCCGACCTAAACTTACTATTGAGATGGCGTCCAGGAGCCCCACGGGGCCCCAACGACGCTCCAAAATGGCCGAAAGACGAGCCCAGAACGGCCCGAGAGGCGCCAAAGGCGCCGAGCCAGACCGCACCCACGACCCTCGCATGGCCAACAATTGTTCTGCCGAGCCACTTCGAAAGGACAGGCAGAACACGGCCTCCAGATCTCCCAGGGCCCACCAGAAGCTCTCCAGAGAGCCTAGAACACCGGCCCCTAGACGACAAAACAACTAAGATGCACTCCAGTCCCGAAACGGTCCCGACAGGGCTGGTTGGAAAGATACGCGGCGACATCTGAACCCTGCACCCTCCAACCGTCGATTCTCCTAAACCGATTGGAGGTGGGGTAGGGTTCGGATTTCGCCACGTGTTCGAAGAATCTCGAACCCTACTCCGCCGCCCTTCGAGTTGCCTGAATAGTTGATCGGCGAGAATGGAGTTCGGATTTCGTGTCGCCGACGTCACGACTACGCGACGCATCACGATATCCAGCGCTGCGCGCAAATCGGCCAAACAACCAGGAAGCGGTGAGTGATGCGCCTGGATACATTTCGGAGAGAGAGAGAGAGAGAGAGAAGCCGTGCACGTCAGAGGTGCATTGGCAAAAGTGTGCATCAGCCGGGAATCGAACCCGAGTCACATCGATGGCACGATGTATTCTATTCGATGTATACATTTCGGAGCAGCAGGCATCTACCACGGGGAGCATCAATCGGCGGCGAGCCTGGGGGGGGAGTGAGAGGGGGGGCAGGCCTTCTCAAAGGCGGCGGGGCTTCTCCCTCGTCCTCG